GAATAAATATTGTATGTATATTACACTGTAGATAGAGGTTTTAGATCAGCTTTACACCTATTTATATTATCTTACTATTTCTTAATGTCTTTATATATAACTTTAATTTATTACCTTTTCGTTAGATAGACTCCTTGAGCTCATTTGGTTTATTTCAAGGGCCTGTGTACAGCTGGATAATCTGATATCAAGGAATCACTGTTATCCAGCTGATTTACTGTTATTTATTTATGGCCTGCTATAAGAACTAGAGATTGTTGTAAGTGGTAATTAAAGTAATTATTTTCTGCCAGGCAGCAACTCTTCATTTCATTTTGCTATATCTTAAATAAGTTGATATTTTTAGGTTGATTTTAATATTTGTGATTCATTTTAAGTGCTCTGGTTGATGATGGTCATTTTTTCATCATTTTTGTCTTCAATTTTTCATTTTTTATTATCATTTTGGAAGAATGTAAAGCCTCATTAAATTCAATGTTATACTATTTTACTTACATTGCAATTGCTAGATTGGACTCAATTCACATAAACTGAACTTACATTTAAATCAAGATTTTGAAATGCTGCAAACTAATTTGATTGGGTAAATTAGAATCGATATTAACGCCTGACCAATCAGATGAAGAGAATGCTTATGTCGTTCTAAATTAAGTTATTGTGAATGGAGTCCCTGGTTAAAAAAATGTTGAATGTCCTGATGTTTAAACATCTTATGTTAATTTGATTGTATACTTATGTTTTTATTTTGGATTATTTCTGTGCTAAGTCAATGATGTTGTAAAAGTTTAATGACAGTTATGTTTCTAAGCGAGGGTGGTTAAAAACGTCATAACTTAGTTTAAGATTATACTCAAGCTTCCACTTCCTCAGAAAACCATTTATAACCTCTTATGTAAAATTAAATCTCAGAACTCCAAAAATATACTTTATCAATATACAGAAGCAAAAAGAGGACATCAACTAAGATCTTCACATTTAAGTCTCAGCCAGCAATCAGACAGTCTCATTTAAATGTGGAAAATGTTATCTTGACAAAACGAAGATAGGCGTAAATGATCGTCACGTATAACATAATATGTTATATATATATGCTTTTGTCCCCTTTCTGCTTCCATATAAAGTATATAAGAGAAAGAATCATGAAGAATAGATAAGATTTATTCAGTTATAAC